ATGGGAGAGGCTCAGGATGAGCCAGGGTCTGCATGGAAGAGGCTCCCCAACTCCCTAACAACCCCCCCACAAGAAACTTCCATACTTCTCCCACCCACACCCAACAACCCTCCAGGTTCACTCCCAAGCTCCTTCCCTCTCCCTCAGCTCCTCCATTACGCTTGACTCCCCCAATCCTTTGCACTGCTTCTGAGGGGTGCGGATATACGTTTCTGTATTGTAGTTTAAATGAATTACTTAAAGTTTTGTATTAATATGCCTAGTAAGGAATCTTTTTGTGTGTGTCTGTATTGTTACAGACATACTTGTTGACAAGTATTTTGAAATAAATTATCAAAATAATTGAAACTGGCATGTTTATATTGTGTTAGTTTGACAAATAAAATATGCACAATTTTGCAGAATTTTAAAATGTGTGCAGAATTTTTAATTTTTTGGTGCAGAATTCCCCCAGGAGTACTTACTCTATCAGATTCCCATTAAAGTCAATGACTGAACTGAAGTCAATGAGAATTTTGTTTGATTAATGAGCACAGAGTAGAGCACAATGAGAGTCCTGCATAAGGACTATTGTAGCTGAAGGCTTGACGCTCACGCTGATACTGCTTTATAATAGAATATATATATTCCAGGCACTGAACAAATATACACCAGATTATTTTAAACTTTGATTAAATATTCCATAAAAGAAACTGCCCCTATCTTAGAAAGAGAATACAATATTGATGTTAGTCCAATATGTTTATAAAACTAACATGACTGGAGAATCAGGATCGCTGTGCACATACCTGTTTTACAAGCTTGGTAACTCAAAGTTGCTACATGCTATTTAAAATGAATACGAAAAAGTAGTTGACATTAGTTCCCAAGCCACGTCTTCTCAATAGAAAAATAACAAAAGGCTTCAACTTATGTAAAGCCAAGATCTGTGAAGACAAATAATATATCTAAAATCAAGAACAGAAGCATTGTCAAATTCTCTAAACTAGAGTATCAAGTTATTGTAGTTGTAGTTGATTAACTTGTTGTTATTCATAGGGAAATCTAGCTTTCATGTTCAGACATCTATTAGATAAAATATATTACTTTTCATGAAAAATAGTCTTTGCAATAAGAGATCTTTTCTGCCTTAATAATTCAAAATATATTATGTAATCTTTCCTACATTCTGCAGATTGCAGCTATGGTATTAGGAAAAAAATCTCATTACACAATAGGAATTGGTTATTTAAAATAAAATATGAAAACTTGTCAAGATATGGTGCCATGTTTCTTTGCAGTGATTTTAATATTTCTTAAAGTTGATGAAGGCAAATCACTGACAGATATTGCCCTTTTTTCTATTTTGTGATTTTTGTTAGACCTGATATGTTGTCAGCTACAGCAAAACATTGTGGGCCTCATCAATCCTTACTCACACAAGTCGTCCTATTGGAGAAAATAACGACAATGAAATACTTGCATGATTGGGCCATAAATGAGATTGTTAGGAATAATTTTGCTATAGTGTACTGTGAAATGTTGAACACCTCCGATGACAGGTTGAGTATATGCCACTTCTATAAGCTCTATGGGAATAGAAGGTGCTCAGGCATCACCTCATTGAATCAAACATCTATTTTCTAAAGGAAACCTTCTTTCAAACAGTATTTCCACCAGTATTTGAGACTTCATCTTGACACTTCATATGTTACCTTTGCCTATATCTGCTAAAGATGTTTGCATCCATTTTTAATGGACAGGCAAGGTACACATCAGTGACAAATGTCTGGGGTGCAAAATAAGTGTCACTTTGCTTGACAAACATTTTATTTTTAAGGCAGTTAGGGAGGATTCAGCCTGGTTAGACCATTGTTCCCATTGATCACTTTATAATCGCAGATTATCTCACTTGAAAACAACATTTGGTAGCAGAGAGGGGGACATATCTAATTCCAAAACAGAGTGTGACAAAGTAATGAAAAAAACTTGTTCCTAATATTAGGGCTCATTGAAAAACAGGATAACTATCCCATTTAGACTGCTTGTTAAGGATTCTGGGTAGTGCTGATTGCTGTCTTTTTAAAGTCAAATTTTGGTTTGTTAAAGATTATTGAATTTCATTCTTCAAGCCACCTCCCTTGGCTTTCCCAACACTTACTTCTGATTTGTTATATAGTGTGATATTTTAGCAAGTTTTAGCAGGAAACTGAGGCTAAGGTTCTGTCTACATTACAAGAACTACAAACGCAGAGCTACAGCTTGGCAGGCCATTCATTTAGTATTAAACCAGACAGTCCTGCTTTTCTAGGGTTTGTCCTCTATCTGATACTCAGACAAAAACAGATGTGGTCCAGTATCGGCTGGGGGACATTCTTTTGAAGAGCGTGCTGCTCCCCTCCCTGCTGGTGTGACCTTGCATGCAAAGTCATGCGGGGGTAGGGGAGGGGGGTAAAGTGGCATGCTTTTAAAAATGATGTCCCCTGTACAGCATGATTGCAGATGTATCAAGTGGAGGGTTACCATACGTACGGATTTTCCTAGCTATGGCCTCCTTTTTGGTCCTCTGATCTCCGTCTGGTGGATTTTTGAAATATGAAGAAAGGTCCATGATTTTTCCTTGCTTGTCCTTTTCCAACATTGCTTCTGGTAGAATTACAATTCCTGGCATGTCCTAATAGCGGTGTGTATGTTTACTGGTTTGCCACCCTTACTTCAGCACTGCAGCTGCTAGTGGCGTTGCCTTCAGAGCTGGGCAGCCAGAGAGCGGCGGCTGCTGACCAACCGCCCAGCTCTGAAAGCAGCACCACTTCCAGCAGCAGCGCAGAAGTAAGGGTGGCATGGTATGATATTGTCATAAAAATTGAACCCTGCCTCCCCCTCCAACGCTCCCTGGCAATGTCCTCTATTTGGGAACTTGAAATATGGTAACCCTAACCGAGTGTCCAAGGTCATGCCAGCGGGGGCTGTTCCCAGAAGTACTAGAGTGTCCCTGTGACAGGTTAGAATCACAGAACCCCTTTGGGAGCTGCCACCTGATGTGCCAAGACTACTTCTGCCCCTGCTTTCCCTGCCAGCTCGGGACCCCAGCATCCTGTCTTGCTGAGCCAGTCACGCCCTTCTGCTCCAACAAAGAACCAGGGTCTGAATTACTTGCCTCACAGCTGCAGACTTACAGAAGCAGCTTACAGAAGTGTTCTTGTCTTTAAAACTCAGATGCCCAACTCCCAATAGGATCTAAAACCCAAATAAATCTATTTTACCCAGTATAAAGCTTATACAAGGTAAACTCATAAATTGTTCATCCTCTATAACACTGATAGAGAGATATGCACAGCTATTTGCCCACCCCTCCAGGTATTAATAAATACTCTGGGTTAATTAATAAGTAAAAAGTGATTTTATTAAATACAGATAGTAGGATTTAAGTGGTTCCAAGTAGTAACAGACAGAACAAAGTGAATTACCAAGCAAAATAAAATAAAACATGCAAATCTAAGCCTAATACAGTAATACAATTGAGTACAGATAAAATCTCACCCTGAAAGATGTTTCAATAAGTCTCTTTCACAGACTGGACACATTCCTAGTCTGGGCACAATCCTTTCCCCTGGTACAGCCCTTGTTCCAGTTCAGGTGGTAGCTAGGGGATTTCTCGTGATGGCTCCTCTTTGTTCTGTTCCACCATTTATATATCTTTTGCATAAGGCGGGAATCCTTTGTCCCTCTGGGTTCCCACCCCCACCTTTTCAATGGAAAAGCACCAGGTTAAAGATTCCAGTTCAGGTGACATGATCACATGTCACTGTAAGTCTTCATTACCCACTTGCCAGCACACACATATACAGGGAGACTTGCAAGTAAAACAGAGCCATCTGCAGACAGTTGTCCTGGTTAATGGGAGTCATCAAGATTCCAAACCACCATTAATGGCCCACACTTTGCATAATTACAATAGGCCCTCAGAGTTATATTTAATATTTCTAGTTTCAGATACAAGAGTGATACCTTTATACAAATAGGATGACCACACTCAGTAGATTATAAGCTTTGTAATGATACCTTACAAAAGACCTTTTGCATGAAGCATATTCCAGTTACATTAGCATATTTTCATAAAATCATATAGAGTGCAACGTCACAGTCCCGTATTCCAGGAATATGTGAGAGATCACCATAGCTGCAGCTATGCTGCTGTAGTATAGACACTTCATATATCAACGGTGGAGGTTTTCCAGAAATAGGCTGTAGCTACAGTGATAGAATAATTCTTCCTAGGCCTGGCACTCAGGGCAGAAATATTTTCACTGCTCTGCGTGCCATAGCTAGGTCAATCTCATTTTTTATGTCAGGCCTAAATGTCTTGCCAAAAGACTCAGAGAAAGTCAGTGGCAGAGCTAAGCGTACAGCCTACGCCTCCCAATTCTAACCACCCCAATGCTTTAATTATGGTGTGGTCCCAGCCCAGGACGGCATGTAAAGCCCTGGGATGGCATGTTATGGCTTTGCCATGGGGTGCTATGGTGAGGCAGTAGGCTCGTAGGGGTCAGCCCCAGAAAAGTGTAACAGGAGGCATAGGAACAGTGTGTGAGGCAGCAGGGCAGTGCTGGTGGGGTGGAGAGTGCCCTGTCATGGTGACTGGCTCCGGTGGAACACATTGGTGGTGACACTAGTGAATGCTGCAGTCAGTGCTGGGGGAGCGGGGTGTCTCTTATTCTGGACAGCAGGTGGGGCTGGGCACCTGTCTCCTGCTCAGGGGCTGAGGGTGAAATACTGGCCTTTTGCAGTAAAGGTTAGTTTTGCCTTTGGTATCGACAGGGCCAGCACTCATGTCATCCTGTGTCTATGGTGCCCTGGGCTAGTGCAGAACCAGGCGGGGGAAGGGCCGGAGCCCGGAACTCTGCTGTGGGGAACCCAGTTTTCAGCCGGAATCCGCAGCAGAGCGTCGCTTTCCGCTCCCTTAGTTGCCTGGTAACGCCGTCAGTGAAGTAGCAGAAAGGAGCGAGGGTGTCCCCCTGAAATTGGCCCCGCTACGGCAACGAGGAGCGCTGACCGGGCACGCATCCCGCCGGTCTGCGCTGGGATGATGCTGGAGCAGGACACCGGCCTCTCCTTGGCCATCGCTCAGATCGTGCAGCGGCTGAAGGGCTCCAGCCTCCATTCCCAGCTGGAGCGGCAGGCCCGGGTGAGCCCAGTCCCCGGCCCGCGGCTGCCCTCCCCCCGCTGCCTGCCTGACCCGCTGCATCCCCGTCCGTCCCTTCCTTCCAGGCATCTGTCTCCCTTTCTGCTCCCCCCCGCCCCGGCCTTTCTCCGTGTCCCTCTCTCCATCCCCCCTTCACCCCTTCCCCCTTGGCTGGACGCACACGCCCAGCATTCGCCACGGACACTGCTGGGCGGATGCCGCAAGGCGGGGATGAACGTGGGGACCCTGTGCCTGTCCAGAGGCGAGGGAGTCAGACCTGCCCTAAACCTTTCACCCTTCTGCAGGGCCAGGAGACTCGCTGCTTAACTGTCAGGGCAGTATTTATAGCCTCACCCTCCGGGGAGGGAGGATTTCGCTGTGTATATTAATAATATGGTTAAAGTCGCATTCATTCAAATTGCTCCACCAAATGAATTGGGTCGTTTTTTAATCCTTAATTTGGGATGCGGTTTTTTTTAACTCCCTCTCCTCCTGCGGTTTCCCCTCAGAACATAAGGATTTGGTGAAAAGGAAGGAAAATAAATGAAATATGCACCAGAAAATGATGTTGTAATAATTGGGATCCTTTGTTCTCACTGCACTCTACATCCACTTTTAGGTTTTTTTAGGTGTTCTTAAAGGCAAAGAGATGTTGTTTTAATATGTATCTCCTTAGTGGACATCCTGTCCTGTGGATTGTTTGAGGTGGAACAGCCACAAACATTATGGCCTGAAATGAATTTGAAATGAAATAAAACTCTGTCTTCATGTATTTCTCTCCCTCCCCCCCCCCCGCCTGCTTTTTCTTGTGGATGACATCTTGTCTTATTGTTCATGGCAATATCTGTTTGCATGATCCTATTCTCTGTAGTTTCTTTTGAAACTCCAGTTTTTGTTACTATTTTTTTTTCTTTATTTTTTTCTCTTGGCTTGGTAATAAAATCAATTAAGTCAATTTAACTTTTGTCTAGTTTATCAGTTTTATTTTCAGGTTCTTAGTTCTGGGTTTCAAACTTTAAAAACATTATGAAAACATTTATTTTGGTATTACATTTTATAAAATATTGTTTTTTTGTTTTTGTTTTTTTACAAAATTTCAATTGTGGACAATATTTAAATTGACAGTGTCCCTTATGTTGTACAAATGATGTTTTAGTGGATAAAACACATGGTTATTTGCCTTACTTTTGTTAGTATTCCTGTATTAGACAAGGCTATGTTCCGTGGCTGTCCACTTTTGACTTCCATGATTCATTGCTCTATTGATTTAATTTATAGCTCTCAGATTGTTTGGGTTCTGTGTGGAATCATGCCATTTCACTTTTATGTCAGTGTAGGCTTCCGACTGATTGTTTGGGTTCTGTGTTGGACCCTGTATTATTTTTCTTTGTATCTATTAGTGCTGTCCCCTGACTTTCATTGTTATTAAATAGTCTTGAAAGGATTAAATTTTTATTGATAAAAGTCCATTTCAGTGGTACACACACAAACTGACAAAAAAAAAATTCTATCAATGATAAAGGTAATTTACAGATAGCCAAAGTAAGAAAAATGCTGCTTGCAAACTTTTTAGAATTTGATTTAATGATATTTACTTTGTATATTTTGACATATGATGTTGACAATTTGTGTATTAACAGTTATAAAGCTTTAACTTTTTGAATCTCAACATTTACTGTCATTAAGTAATTATTGTCCGACTAGCCATTGTCTGGCCTCCTCCATAATTTCCCACAATTGTGAAATTTAAATAGATAAAAATAAAAAAAACTTAAAAATAAAAATCTATATTATCCATCATAATTATATAAAATTGTTAAATATAATTTGTCTGCAGTTCCAGATCTGTATCTTCTGCTCTCTTGTTTATGTAGATAAGTAAATGAACATAGTGTTGTAAGTGCTATGTAGGTCACTACCAAACACAAAAGAAGATTTATAATGTAAATATATAAGTGAAAACCAACAGTACAGACAGAACAGTAGATAATGGCCACAGCCCAGTCTCTCTTAAAAACTTCACAGAATAGGTGGGTTTTAGAAGTTTGTGGAAGGAAAAGGAAGGAGCTTGGTATATATTGGTAGGGAGATTATTCCAGTCATATGGAGAAGGTAAAGGAGACAAATAGGGCAAGAAGAAGGCAGATTGGCCAGAGTTTAAATATTGCGAATACTTAGGAGATGAGGGTAGAGAGATGTAGAGTAGGATGAAGCTTTGTAAAGGTGAAGAGAGCAGCTTGAACTTGACATTATTTGATGTCTACTACAAAAGCATTTCTAAATGTGATTAGCCATTTTGGGGGATTTGTAGTTTTAATGAATACTGACAAAGTTGAGGTAGTGTTTCTTGGTCCTGATTGTAATTGTTCCATCATTTATTCTTGCTTTTTAAGAGGTTACCTTTGGATCCTGGGTTTTTCCAGGAATATGTGCATTCTCTTTGATTCTGAGTTAATTTATGAACCTCACAATTATCCTCCCCTTACAAACAACATAGATCTCTCTTGTTTTTTCTTTTCTGCCAAAACTCTGATCCATTTTCAAGTTTTCTCTATACTGGATGGTTGTAATGGGTTTTTTGGGGAGGGATCCAGGCCTTCTCTGTTTTGTTTTTGTGATTTGTTGAATTTTGTTATTGTTAGTCTCAAATTACTGCCTAATCAGGCCATTAAATTGGCTAACTTTGAAGCTGCAGATGGTGTACAAAATCTTGCTATTCTTATGCAAGACACCTCAACTCCTATTTATCTCTGAAACATGATCTATGTTCTGGTCTGCTTGTTAGTTACATTCTGTTTCTGACCTGAATGTTGTGGTATAAATAAATCTGTACTAACTGCAGAATTGAACCTCTCTACATGAAGCCAATTTTAGATAAATCTCAGTGATATTGAGATCTGTTTTGTTGCTCATCTAAATTCTTCCAAGAGAAAACTTAACTTTTAGCTCTCATTTGTTTTTAAAAAATATAAAAAATCACTTTGGGAGTGCTGTGTAAATAACATTGTAAACCCTCAAATCACTCAAAATCCATTCTTCAAAATTTTGTATGCACATGCATGTGCATGTACAATATCTGACAAATGTCAGGATGTAAGTCAAGATTTGTGTGTCCACATAATGCCCCCTTAAAATTAGTGTCCAGAGTTTTTTAGAGTTAGTGTTATTTACTGAGCCTAATTAAAACATTGGGGAACTAATATTTAAAATAACAACAAAATTCTTGCTATACTCATTAATTTTTTTTTTTTTTAGTTCTAGCAGGCAGAGCTCAAAAAGAACAATTTCTGTTGTCAGCTTACAGAACTTTTGAAAAAAGTGGGTTGCTTAAGAATGATGTTTATGAATGTTGAGTCTTTGGATCTTAGTAGAGATACAAGTCGGTTGTGTTTTTGGGTACAAGAAGGAAAAGGGGATTGTAAAGAAGAGACAAGACTTCTCCTTTATTTCTTAAATTTTCATGTGTGATATGTTACTTACAGTATTTAGGATAATTAAGTTGCCAAGCACATAGTGGAAACAGCAACTTATTTTACAGGATTCTTCGGCATCAAGTTGATGTGAGATGCTAGAACCCTGCATAAAAACTCAGTTATCTTTGATAATTCACTCTGATGGCAGATTAGCTCTAACCCAAGAGTATTAAAAAGGTTTGAATATACCTCTGAGCCACAGTAACTAGAAGGTAGGGACCAAAGGCTTGATTCACAAAGGGGACTTAAATGAACTCCTAAGTGCCCCTCCTGCCCACTGGAATTCATAGCCCACAGTTTGGCACCCAGCCTTCCCATACAGTGCATGGGGAGAGTTAAACACTTAAGAAAGGGATTCTCAGAAGCCAGCAAACTGAGCAGGCAGCTGCCTGTGCCAGCCACAAGTGAAATGCAAAGGAAAGGGACAAGGCTGAAGGCTCAGATCCTCAAAGAGGCTGAGGTGCCTGACTGAAAGGCTGGAGAGCACTACTTCAGATTTTCAGCCATGAACCCTCTCCTGGAGTTAGGTGCCTAAGCCAGGTCAGCCTCTTCCTCGCAAAAAATGAGAGGGAGAGACACCCCCCCCCCCCCACTAAAGCCAATAGCCCAGTGGTCAGGGTATTCACTTGGAATGTGGGAGACCCATATTCAAATCCCTGCTCTACCTGATTTGGAGCAGGGATGTGGACACAGGTTTCCCACAGCTCTAATGAGTGCCTGACCACCAGTCTATTGGCTGTAATGGAGTGGGTCTCTCTCAATCTCTTCTGTTAGAACTGTTCCACTGTATATAAATAATTTAAATATTGAAATCAAATGCTTTGTGACATTGTGTCGAGTTTGCAAAAATTTTCTTTAGGAGAAAAATTATGGGAAAAAAGTTCCTACAATGTTGAAATGCCCTGTTTTGACATTTTTGGAATGAAATGTTTTGATATTTCATTTTGAAATGACTTTTTGCATTTTTTATTACATTATAATAAAGTCAAAATCAAAATGAAATGTTTTGATCTGAAACAATTTGTCAGACTTTTCTTTTGTGGAAAATTATGAAATTTTCTGGTTTCATTCTGATTTGAAATGAAGCCAAATATTGAAATCTTATAAACTTTTGTGAAATGGAATTTCCACCTCCATTGAGCGCTCATAAAAATCTGTTAATGATTGTGAGTCACTCAGAACCTACTGTAACCATAAAAATATCTGGCTGGATGGACAGATAGATAATTTAAAAAAAATAGGCCCCAGCATTTCATTGGGGCAGAAGATTCATAAACTGTCCTTCTGACATGTAGAAAAACCCTATCCAGACATTAGACATACAGTGGGGAGAAGTGGAGTAAAAGAAGAGATGAAAACTTAAGCAGAGTAATTTTTTAAAAACATAAACAAATGTGATATTAATGATACCAGTAATTCCTGTTGCCATCTGCATGACCCTTTTCAGATTGCAATTTATTGTTGGCATCTCAGCAGTGGGTCTTGAGAAGGGATTTGTAAGAAGACAGGGTTGTGGCTTTATAGATAAGT